ATTGATTTGTGATAATATTTTTACTAAATTTGATCCTCTTGACACATTTCTTCATCCAATTGACTCATAGAACTCTCATTGAGAATATTTGCATTTTAGTTTCCGAACTTTGGACTCTTACAATTTGGTCATTTTCTCCATTTTCGCCAACTTTTACTTATTTCTTTCAATTTCATCAACCAACATCACAACATCAAAACACACATTAAAACGCTTTAAAAGACTCTCAAGTGTAACAAAATAATGAATTAAGTGGAATAAATATCATGAGTGTAGAGCACTCATCAAAATGTCAGTATCAAGTGAACCATACAAATATGCAGTTACTACATTCATAAGGCGCATATTAAACTTTTGTGACACAATCAAACTAATTAAAAATCTAAAAGTGATCGTGTCCATTCTTGATAATCAATTTCTGATCTTTGTGAGAAACCTTTAGCTACTAGTCGGGCTTTGTACCTTATAATTTTATTATTTTTATTTCTCTTTTTGTACAAAAATTCATATCTAACAGGGATTACATTTTCAGGTATTCAAATCACATGTCCAATCACTTTTCATTTTTCTAAGGAATTCAATTCTACCCGTATGACTTCTTTCCATTTTGGCCAGTCATTTCTATTTTAACAATCTTTAACAGGCTGTGGATCATGATCCTCATTTTGCATAATATCAAAAGCCATATTAAAGGCAAAAATATTTTCTATATCAACATTATTTTGTTCCATAATTTATTAAATAACATATCATTTATTGAAATCTCATTATTTTCGAACACTTGTGGTTCTTCAGGAACCATATCTTCAATATTTGATTAATCAATCTTTTCTACTTCTTCTAATGTTTTTGGTTGGTTTTTCTCCTTTACCTTTCTTTTTCGAGGTACAGAGTCTTTTGAACCAACTGGTCGATCACGCTTCTGGTGTATTTGAGATTTATTTGTCATAGCAGATTGTCCTGTAGGGACATCAATTTTTGCTGAAATATTTTCCACCGGTATATATGACTTTATCATTTTTCTTGTATCAACAAATGTATCAAGTAATTGATTTGCAACTCTTTGCAAATGAATAATTTTTTCAACATCTTGTTCACACTGATTGCTATGGAGATCAAAGTAAGATAGAATTATTTCATTCCAAATAATTTTAACTTGTAGGAAGGTTTTGATACTAATTCATGATTATATTGAACACGCTCTTAACATTATGAAGAAATAAAATCATCATGCTAGTTCATGCATATAGATTTGCAGATTGTTTTTAAGGATGTAGTTTTTCCCCTCCCAAAGTTGAGAAAGTCATTTCATCAAAGTGACAATCTACAAAACGTGCAGTAAATAAATCACCCATCAAAGGTTCAAGATACTTAATAATTAATGGTGAATCAAAACTCACATAAATCTCAAATTTTCGATGGGGACCCATTTTAGTACGTTGTGGGGGGTGAAATAGGGACTTGGACAGCACAATCAAAAATTCGTAGGTAAGAAATATCGGGTTCATGACCAAACGCAAGTTGCAAAGGTGAATGTTGATAATAGACAGTTAGTCTTATACGAACCAATGATGCAGCATGTGATATGGCATGAGCCTAAATAGACGCTGGGAGTTTAATAAAAGACTTTGCCAAGCCATTTTGTGCATGGACATGGGCAACTAAATGTTCAATTACAATCCCAATTGATATACAATAATCATCGAATGCTTGTGATCTAAATTCACCAACATTGTCAAGATGAATACTCTTAACTGAGTAATCGGGAAATTGCGCTTGTAATTTTATGATTTGAGTAAGTAGTGTAGCAAATGCTACATTCCTAATTAAAGTAGGCAAGCATGTGACCATCTAGTAGAAGAATCAATTAATATCATAAAATAACGAAATTGTTCACATGATGGGTGTATTAGCTCACATATATCTTCATGAATTCTTTCCAAGAAAATTAGAAATTCAATATTAACTTTTGTGGCCAAAGGTCTAATGACTAACTTGTTTTGCAAACAAGCTATACACGGATAATCATTAGATAAAAAAATCTTCTAGTTCTTTAAAATATGTCCATGTGAGTTATTTATTATTCAATGTATCATTATAACTCCTAGATATTCAAGTCGATCATGCCAAAATATAAAACTTTTTGGGTCAACGAACTTCTGGTTAGTGACATTATTTGACTAAACCATTTTTATAAATATATAATACATGCCAGATGAGAATACACGAAGTTTTTCCTTTATCTGCTTCTGACCAAATACAAGAGAGGTTATGCAATGATATATTCAATATTATTTTCTTGCATCATCTCATATGATATCCATTACAGCGGATATCCTTAAAACTAAGCAAATTTCTTCTGAGTTTGCTAGAATAAAGTGCATCATCAACATATGATTTTGTATTATTTGGTAAAATAACACAAGCTCTTCCGGAGCCTTCAACGATATTCGATGCACCTAGTATCGTATTAACATTATTTTCTTCTAATGTTAAGTCCAAAAAGTATTTTATCTTGAATAATAGTATGTGTAGTTGTGCTATCAATCGCACAAGTTCCTTGACAATCCATCATGAATCTATCAATATAACAAAATAGATATATAAAAAAACTTGAATTTAAATTTAAAAGAATAAACATAATTAATACTGTAAAATTAACGATGCATAATAAAGTTCAAAACTTTTGTGAAAAGTAAAAAACATATTTCAAACTAAATAAAGGAAAACGCTAGAAACATAGAAAATAAACTAATCTATATCTTCCATCACATCACCTTTAATCAAATTGTCAATATTTCCATTTAGATCAGCAAAGAAATCGAAGACATCCAAATGAGTCACATCAATTGGATCATCATAGTCAACAAAATTTGTCTCCACTTTCCTCTTTCCCTTAATTGATTTTTGGTAAAGATCTACAAAATGTTTTTCCGTACAACAGGTAGGTGTCCAATGCCCTTTTATTCCACTTCTAAAACAATTTTCTTCATGCAACTTTTTGGATGTACTACTTTCATTTGCTTTGCGCCTTTTTAAATTATTGTCTTGTTGTCATAACTTTGTTGATCATTTCGTCCATGGTTTAATACACTTGCACATCCGCGTTCGCGTCCATGTGCACGTCCTTGTCTTGATTTTGCATTTGTTTCAGGCAATGATACAGAACTAATTGGACATAATCCATTATTTTTAACAGTTCATTATTCTATTCAGCAACAAGCAGGCAAGATATAAGTTCTGAGTACTTTTTGAAACCACGCTCAGGATATTGCTGCTACAGGAGCACATTCAAGACGTGAAAAGTGGAAAAAGTTTTCTCCAACATATCTTCATCGGTGATTTTTTCTCCGCACAAAGTCAATTTTCAACATTCTAAATAGTTTAAAATTGTAATCACTAACAGTTTTGAAGTCTTACAAATAATGGTGCATCTACTCATAGCTGGTTTTGGGAAGAACTATAATCATCTGATGATCAAATCTCTCAGTTAATTTTTTCCAAAGAACCTATGAATCTTTCTCAGTGAAATATTCAATTTTCAGTCCATTGTGAAGATAATGGCGAAAGAAGATAAGTGCTTTTGCACGATCCTATAGGTATTCTTTGTTTCATTTTTTTATTGTCTATCCCAAAACTTTTGAGACAAGATGAATATCAGCATTGAGTACCTATGATAGATAATTTTTTACAGATATGTCAAGTGCAGCAAATTCATGTTTTGTGATATTTGCTATTTGATCAACTACCCAAAAAAAAAAAGAGCAAGAGAAAATACAATTAATTTCGAAGAATATGATTAAACATCACACAATCGTTAATCATGATATAATTTATGTGTTTTCCTTCAAGGATAAATGCTAATTTAAAATAATATGTTGTTCGAAACATGTGTTACTTCAGGAGCACGTTGTATTTTACTATTACTTCTTCAAGAGCAATACAACGATATTCTTCTGGAATATTGAAAATTATAATTTATGCTCTTTAAGAGCAAGTTATATTTTTCAAGAATATTAATTATAATGTTGTGTTACTTCAAGAGCAATAACAAGTTAAGAACGAATTCAATAATTAATGTTTTATTGCTAAACATTAAAAAAACGATGATAAAACATTAAATTACATAGCACAATATTATTTAGCAAATAAGCACATATAAATTGATTTTAATTCATTAACGTGTATTGATTAATAATAATAATAATAATAATAATAATAATAATAATAATAATCTGAATTTATTAACACAAATGTTTATAGCAGTGAATTGATGAATTGGATGCATGAATACTTATTATTAAGGGATACACACGCAGGCAAACAAATTCATTAATGCAAACCAATTAGCAACATGCATGAATCGTAAGGAAAATAAAAAAAGAAAAGGAGAATTAGTGAATAAACTCTATTGCAATGAGGTGGCAGAAGTGATGAAAAAGAGGTTAATTCATACGTATTTAAATGTAGCATATGCGGTTGTTTGACTACAAAAGTAAGCCATGATTGTGGTGGCGGAATAAAGAAAAGAACAATTTAATGCTTAAAGAAATTAGCATTGATAAATGAACGGGAACTAATGCTTAAAGAAATTAGCATTGATAAATGAACGGGAACGGTTTTAAAAAAAAAAAAAAAAAAATCACATGTTGCCCAATTAATTTTGGTGCACGTGACGAATGACTGTACTTCAAAAAAATTACTAACTTCACTATACTTTAAAGAGTTACGTTTTCGTACTGATAACGTGTTATGAAAAGTAAAGAAAAGAGAAGATAACAGAAAGAAATCAGTAAACTTGTGTATATTTTATTAAGAATCAGAGCCCTATATTTATGGGTAAGAACTATGAATACAATGATAATAATTTTTAAGACTATAGGAGTAAAGTTGTCATTTACATGTAAACTCTAATAAACTTACATTTTACAACAATATATATAACAATCCAAATAAAGTTTGATCGTTGAAATGAAATAGGCTATAGTCATGAACCAAGAGACCAAAAAAATGGACATATCTGAATAATTGAAGAAAGCCCACCAAGCAGACACGGTTATCATAAGATCTGCTAATTAATATGTACAAAATCATTTTCGTAGTTGAGAGTCAAATAAAAATAGCTATGATAAAAGAGTATACTGGAGATAAGCTAACTGATATGTACATATCGTAATCTATTTCAGAGTATCAACCTTCAGTTTCCACTATACTGTAAAGCTCCAATTTACAGACTGTAGGCTTTATCATATTCACCTTGAGACACAAAGCAACATATTTAACTTCTCGACAAGGGGAAAGTAAGAGGGTGAACTTCAGGGCTATGATAATCAGCTGAGCATCGATGGATGAGGTGTCTGGAGCATCCTCTTGAACATATCCATCCTGAATGCAGAATCTGATGAACTAAAAGAAGGCAGTACATAATTTAGCAGCTGTACACATTGGCTTCAGGTACATCTAGGAAAAACATAAGAATAACATTGGAAAACACACTAACGATTTGCTTTAAGGAGAAAACCAGGATAGTCAATCAATTTAAATTTTAAATATTAAATTAGTTTTTTAAGATCAGTAATAGCACATATTTACATATTTATCCAATGTTTTAAAAACCGGACTGGCCGGTTCAACCAGGAAAACTGGGAACTGGTCCGAAATCCAGTCCGGTTTGAACTAAAAACCCTGTAATTTAAAAACCACACAGAAACCCGTCGGACCGGCCGGGTCATATGAAAACTGTGACCCTCTCCCGGTTATAAGGAACCTGTAAAATTAAAGAAAACCCTTATTTTAAGTTTCCACTTTCAATTCAATTCAAAGAGTTTTCAATTCCTCTCCTCTTCAATCAGTGGGCCGGAAGTATGGATTGAACAGATTTTAAGGCTCTCCTCTTCAAGTTTTCAGGTTTTCAAGCCGGTTTTAATTTATAGCTTGTATTCTTCGTTTTTTCCAGAAGTTAGTGGATAAATAATGTCTGCTTGGAAAAGTTTTCCAATGAACACCGTTATTCAATTAATCAAAGAATGTGGAATAAGATCTATAATTAATATCCTCGTGAATGGATTTTTGATATGATTTTCCTTTGTTGATACCACTTTTGTTCAGGATCACTTTTCCAGATTGATAACTACAAAAAATCATATAATTATTAATGAAATTAATATTAATTTTTATGAAGAAAAACCTTGTTTCGAAGAAGGCCAACTCGTCCACCAAATTTTTCAAGCAGAAAATCAGAGTACACTTTAAATTTTAGCTATTTAAGTTTTCATGTTATTCAGTTATTGACATTAACTTTATGTTATTGACTTATTAAGTTATTTTAAATTATATAATTGGACTGAATAGCTCTTGACTTAGTTGTAATTGATTGGTTTTGTGATTTGATTTAAATATTTACTTTTCATTCTTTATAAATGTATATATATTTTTCTATTTTATAAAAGTTACCGGTTCAACCCCGGTTCGACCTCTTGACCCCCTTGACCCATTCTCTTTTCTGGGTCAATAACCAGTCCGATTTTTAAAACATTGTATTTATCACTAATTATACATTACCAGCAGTTTCCTAGTACCAATATAGCATGAACGTTTTTCCTTTATGCAATTATTAATGAGCCAAATTCCTGCAGTGATTGTCTTTCTTCAGCCTTCACTCATGGCAATCGCTGATTTACAAATTATGGCTAAAATTTCTAAATATTAAAAAGATGTCTCATTTTAGATGTTGAAAGTCAGCAGATTACTCCACTGTTGTAGCAATCTTATCCAACTTGATATTCCATTGATGTATGGAAATTAATCCCCACGAGTAATAAATGTCTGTGTAGTTGAGCCATTAATCTGAAAACAAGAATTTCTAATTTACTTCCAACAAAAAAAGACTCTCATACAGTTACAGAATAAACATGCAACATCTTCTTCTTCTTCTTCTTCTTCACTTTTCTTTCTTTCTTCTTCCTCTTCGTCTTATTATTATTATTATTATTATTATTGCAAAAATAAAATGAAAGCCCATATATACCCAAGTTCAAATCTCGTGCACAGGGCACACTTATTCCTTCTGAATAAGAAAATGTTACAAATACATGGACTACTGAGAAAAACTTAATATATTAGGAAGTAAAATGTATGAAACTAAAGAGGTTAAAGTGAGAATTTTTAAGGACCATATCTCAGAAAATTACAATTGAGTGTCTCTCCTCCCAAAAGCCAGAACACCAAAACCTTATTTTATAAGCAAAATTCAGAATCTAACCAAAATGTTACACAAAATCTTGGAAAATATTAGATAAAGCCAAATTATATCAAAGAAAACTACCAAGAAAATTTTGAAAGAGAGTTGAAAAACACACGAAGACCACGAGTTTCTATTAAAATATGGATATAAGACTTCTATTGTTGCCTCAATAAAATTTGAGTCCATTTCAAAAATATCATGAACGCTAAGGAGGAATAGAAACGCAGGAGCCTAGATTTCCTTTAAAAGGTGTCTCCAAGGGAAGAAAGCACTTAGTGATGGTGCACAAAGTATATGCATTTGAGGTGATAGTATGCTACACTCGTTTTGACTTAGGCATAACTATGTCATTCAAGTGGCAGAGACACGAGTACCTTGAGATTGTAATTTCATAGGGAAACAAAAAGCCTTCCAGATTCGGTATTGAGGGAACATGATCCTTCTTCTCATTTACAAATTTAATTATTTGGAACAGAACATCACGAAGAGATGCTTCTAGTGCTGCACGCCTAGCACCTCCTGCCTCAACTGCAGTATTAAAAATATTCTTAGAGGAAGAAGGTGAAGATATATACACGCAGACAATAAATAATATCCAAAAGTTAGCACGAGGCAGACAGTAAGTACCTCCTGGATCAACTACTAGTTTAGAATGATGAGACTTGCCAGACGGTGTTTTTGGGTGTTGCATCACATTTAAATTTATGTACCATTGTTCCCAGTAGAGGTGTTCAACTTTATTTGTGAACCATGTAGCCTGTTTGTTTTTCACCTCATAAAAGGACAAACATATCTGCATGATTGACAAGCCCATTTATGTATCTGACATAAACAAACATCTCAATGGATAAAAATCTGACAAAACAGCATAAATATGCCTTGTTTGAGCCCATTATTTCCTCATTAAAATGAAGAATATGACCGTTATCCATCACATCAAGCCACCATATTTGACTTTTTATTTCTTGTGTGAGGCTCCGTACGGCTATATTTTTCATTATCATTTTTACAATAATATGGCTCAAACAGGGGCATAAACATGTAATGTTGGATTCACATGGAATCAGAATTCAAGTACTAGGATCCATGTACAGCATAAAATGTTCCTTAAAAAGGAAACATTTTCTATTGCGTCTCAAACAAACTATAATAAAAATGCAACTCCTTAATTAAGGATGCACTGCATAACTAAGTAAATAAAAAATTGATACAAAATACTGAAAAAAAAAAATTTTGCTTATTATAAGGATAAAAATAAATTTCCACCTGGCTAGTCTGAAATCTTATTTCGATTCTCCATTCGCATTAAGGGCAGAATAGGAAAATATTTGAAGTTTACCGTTATTAGACATGTAAATAGGTCCAAGATATTCATGCTCCAAGGGCATCACCAATAACTAAATTTATGTTTCATTCTTGGTTATAAGGACAGAAGGGAAACCTGGCTCATCTTCCAGTGTACAATTGTTAAATCATACACTAATTCATTAAGTTAACATTTAGCATAGTTGTTCCTAGTTACACTTCGTCAATGTTAATAAGAAACTTTTAAGGATATCTACCACTCCCTCTTCTCATGTTGTTTGACACATCCTCTTACAATGTTTAAAAAAGTAACATTTACTTTCAACAGTTGACACCATACCACCACAATTTCAGATGTCTAATCACCATCAACATTCTTAAATGTGCTCTGAAATGAATTTGACGGCCATCATTTTCACATTTTGCCAACATTTAAACCGAAATTATGGAATCACAATGCGAAAATGTCTTCGTTAAATGACATTCTTCACAAGTCATTCAAAAAGGAAGAGAGTCAAAACACTGTCTCGGTCCTCTGTACATAAAATCGGTCCTCTGTACATAAAATAAACAATTTCGCTATTTGTACATACGGGATTGACATCCCTAATGACACAAGGTTGACATCCCTAATGACACCTCCCTCAAAAGAGAGGGAGGCCCACAATTATTTTATTACGCGTGGGCACCCCCCCTCTGGTGTCATCCGGGGTACCCCCCCCTCTGGTGTCATCCGGGGTTGACACCCCGGATGTACAAATAGCAAATTTGTAAAATAAAACATTTATTCTCCATAGACTCAATATTGATCAGCTCTGTCAATGATAAGAAAAGATGAAATAACCAATATATCTCTGGCAATCAACCAGTTGACGCGATAAGCTACTTTTGTGTTGTCTCCTTAAAAAATGGGAGTTGGGAAAGAGGGAAGCACTGCATCTATTAATCCTCAAAGATATCATAGCACAGGTACGTCCTATTCCAGGGTGGTGTGTACCCAATATGAAGAGGACCGTGTTTTTCTTATTTGAAATAAACTTCTTCAGAAAGCCAAAGCAAGAATAGACCAATCTCACATTAGAATTTGATTTTATCTATCAATTGCCCAAAGAAAGGGAGTGGATGCACCTAGACACTGTTTCACTACAAATGCTTAACAAAATTTAACACCTCACCTTCCATTGATGAGACAGAACAAATAAAAATTCATAACTCACATTCATGAATGCCACTCAAACATGAAAATGCAAAATTACGAATTACGAAACATCAAGAACGAAGCATGTGACAAATAAGAGGAAGTGGCAAGCCATAAACCTGATTTTTCTTCTTTGGGTGTTTCTCTACCCTGTCAATGAATTGGTCAATCTTCTCGTCTATCTTCCTCTCAACCTCCACATCACCACATTGCACCTATACAATAAATTTTAGAAGTTGAAGACAATGTGGTAAAAAGTCAACATCAAAATCTTGTCTTTAATTACGAATACTGAGAAATGCCGACCATAAAAAGAACAAAAAAACACTCATTAGCACAAGTTCTGCATTCCATCCAAAGAAGAACCTTTTATATGCATGCTTGCTTGCTTGCTGCAAGTTCTTACACATTTCTGACTAAACGCTATACCAAAATAAATGTCCACTGCATGCTGAATAGGCTGCATCTTTTGAAGATAGTATAAACCAATCACTTTAAGAAAATGAAAGTTACTGACATAGGTAATCTCGAAAAGCTCCAAATCGACGTCCTTTGGCCGCACCAGGCCTAAAGCTCTATGGAACAGAATTGTATGTAGAATGCCTACACACAAACGTTGACCCGGTTAATTCTCAAGGCAGAAGATGCCAAAACAAATAATATTATGAACTTTGTTAAATTTATTATTATTATTTTTTTTTAGAAAGCAATTTCCTATAATCAAAAAGGCTGCTGCAATTATGTATGACAATTACTCGTATGTGAGGTCAAACGGGCAACATAAATCAGCATTCAAATGAAGGTAATTAAAAATCAATTTCTGATAGCGAAAAGAGGGAAAATAAATTCTGCCGAAATAATTATGCGAAAAGCTTTCAGTAGATGGATGTATCATTAAATAAATAAATAAACAAAGCACCAAACTTACATCGGAGAACTTCACGTATCTCAAAGTGCTCCACTTCCTGATATAACCCGTGTAATCACAACACAAGCACTACAATCAGTCCGAAAGAAATATGCCTAAAATACACAAAAACGCACAGACGACACAAAAAATAGGTTACTTACAAGCTCATTGAGTTGGCAAACTTCGCAATTCATAGATATTGTTGATACTGGGAAAAAAATGCTATTTCAATTTCGAATTTCAGAGAAATCTGATTGAACAGAAAGGGCACCAGAATTGGCCCCGGATTTAAGTTGGATTTTAGAGCTCGTTTGGCTGCTGTAATTAACTTCTCCTATAGTAATACCCTTATTATTATTACTATTATTTTATTATATTTTAACCAATGATTTATAAACGAATTAGTTTATCGGAAATTTGCAGCTGAGGTTTTTCTATTTAGCCTATCACTATTTTTTTTTTTTTGAAAGGTCTATATTACCCTTAGAGTGTGTTTGATTGACATGAAAAATATCATCTAGAAAAGAAAATATTTTCTATCTTTTGTGGAAAACAAAAATCACCTCAACCCAAGGAAAATGTTTTCCTTAAAAATAAGTAAAATTAGGCCTATTTTCAAAAGTTGGAAAATGTTTTCCATGAAAAAAAATAGCAATCAAATACTTCAAGTAGAAATTTGAGTAGAAAACTGATATTTTTCATGAAAAATAAATGTAATCAAACACACCTTTAATGAAATGATTCTTTCTATATTGTAGCTATATCCTAATCTTTTAAACATTTTATCTTTTACTTTGAATATTTGAATATAAATTCATTCTATGATCTAATAAATAAGAATAATCTGCAACATATATTTCATATTTTCTAATTAAAATCCTATATTTTTCAAATAGTAAATTTATATTTTTTAGTTGAGAGATAATATTCTTTATTTTTTCTAACTTTTTTCTAATTAATTATCTAATCCTTCAATTGTATATCCTGGCATTTATTCATAATCATCAATTAATCCCTACGATTCTTTAAGATCTTAAAAAGATTCTTTATAATTTTAGCAAAAGTTTAATGGTTTTACCTTAGGTTTGATCTAGACTTTTATTCTTAGAACCGAATGGCCTTCGAGCTCTGAATCTGTACACTGTTTCCTTCAACGGCCTCCTGCCTTCATGGAATTGTTACTATTTCAGTTACTTGCTCTCACTGTATCAATCTCTAAAAAATAAAATTCTAGACTTTTGTTAAAGAAAAACTTTCTTTTTACTAAAATAAGAAGGAAACTTTTTATCGAATCTTTCATGAATCTATGGGAATAAAGATTTAGAAACTCATATTCATATCAAATTATTGGAGTTTTATTTCTATCAGAATTTATACAATACTTCTATTTGATACAAAGGGATTTCCAGAAAAACTAATTTTTCAACTGGGAATAATTTTTTTAGTAACTATTGCTTACAACTCGAGATTTCAAAGTAAGATGATTTTTCTCTATGGCAATATCTCTATTTATACAAGTTTTTGAAACTCTATTACATCATTGAATACATCAGCAAGGCACACTTGCCTCTCTATTATTTTCCTCCTTGGGCCTACATCTTCACATGTTGTTTCAACTTTTTTATTCAAAGAGCATCTTTTTCTATTATTACTCTTTATCTTCAATGCCCTCACATGCAGTTGTATTATTATTCTCCATGCACCTTTGTTAAAGGTGCTACATTATTGTCCTCTTCCTTCATTTCTTCACATATAGTTGGGGCACTCCCTTAGCTAGCAGGATTCTTTTATAGTAGTAGGATATCCTGGAATTGATGTATATCGAATCTTGTAATATAGTCTTTTAAAATTTCTGATTTTCCATATCCTCCATTGGATACCAACATCCAATTTTCATATTGGCATAAGTATGAGAATTTTTTATCAAACAAATTTTTGGCAATATTGTAAATGGCTTTAATCCAATTACTCTTCTATGTCTGATCCATGATTTTGTCACTATCGAAACTTTTCTATTATTTTCTATAACATCAATTTCAAAATTGGCTGCACATATCCAATTGAGATTATGTGTTCAACTGGATAATAAACAATTCCATCATATTTTGAACTTATTGAATAGAATTTCAAATAAATTTTCCTTCCCTTGGCAAATCTGGATACTTCTTTAATGAATATGTCATCAAACTTCGAAATTTCAATCAAATCTTTTTCTGGATATATCAAATCCATGAATCCTGCCATAATTTTTATAAATGAAGGGTCTCCTCCTTTCATGACTGTTATTTTGGGATAAACATTATTTCCCGAAAAAATGAAATATGAATCACTCATTTTTATTTCATAAGCAATTTTGACTATTTCGGTATATTTTTCTTCTTTTGGATCTAAATGGATTTTATTTTCTTGGTCTATGATACTGATTGTTTTGGTATCTCTTTTATCTCCATGCATCATAACTTTTTTGGTTGAAATGGAATCTCCTTTATTATCAGTTGGTATGTTGTCACGTTTGGGTCCACTACTGCTTCCAGCTGTCCCTGTTTGGTATTGTTTTGAAAAACTCATTTCTAAGCTCTTTGGTATATCTGTCTCAGACAATATATCTTTTAGTTGTGCTGCAATAACATCAACTTGATTTCTGAGTTCTATGTCATATTTATGATGCTCATTAGTGATATTTAACAGTATTTTTATATTTGAGTTGAAAATCCCTGAGGTAATTTATTCCTAACTAATCCTGGAATTTGATAATTATCAGTTTCAACAATAAATTTCTTGGATAATAAAAATAACGAGAACTTTTTTATTCCTCTGATAATTGCTAGTAATTCTTTTGCATAAGTAGTATAATTTATTTCTGTTTGGTTAAAATTTTCATTTGAATATTTACAAATTTCATTTATATCTGTTTTTAATATTGTTGCCCAATATTTATCTGAGGCATCAGTATTAACAATCAAATTATCTTTTTCATCCGGTAATCTTAATTTTGGTAAATTTTTACATCCTTCTTTTAATGATTTAACTATTTTTTTATGTTTTTCATTCCATCCTTTAGTATTTGTTTTTCTAAATAAAACTTAGGGGGGTGTCCTCAATCTAGAGTTTGATGGATTTTAAAACTCCATATAAATTGAAGTATCCTCAATTTAGATTTAAATATAATTCATTAAAATATAGGTGTCCCCAATCTAGATTTTTAAAAAATACTTATAAATTTAGGTGTCCTCAACATAAATTTTAATAGGTAGTTTTGAAATTTAGATGTCCTCAATAACTAGTTGATTTTAAAAGATTTCATTAAGTAGATAGATTTTGAAGGATTTCAAGGTAAAAATATAAGTACAAAGAATCAGTAACAATTTTAACCCAAACCTAAAAATGTACACAACGTAATTTACGATTTCTAGTATGCATACTGGAACAACTTCGTCTTTCAAGTTCTGTACCCTATTCATTTTTCTTGGGAAGAGCTGTGTGTTTTCTATATATACCTGCAAATCCTAGCCAAGACATGTGAGGATGGTATCCCATATTTTTTTCATTTGTGTCTACATGGTCAATGAGAATTCTGGAGGTATGAAATTAATTGCCTTGTAGTCATGTATGTGTACATCTGTGTGTTTGTATCTCACAAGGTTGTGACCTTTTGAACTAATTCATATTGATTACGACTTTGATTATTTAACACTACATATTTGTGTCCTCTTCCACTCTCGCATTTTGTTGAATATTGGGTGTATTTTTTATTGAAGATCTGCTATAATATTCAATGTTTAACAAACAATTGAATAAGGATTCGATCATTTTCAATGATTTATTAATGTGCATATGTGTAAGAATGAGTCGTTAAAGAAGAAGTAAAAATTTGTGGCTTATGTTAAGCATATTTATAAATTTTACCCAGAATCCATAAAATCCATTGAAATCTATAAAATCCATGAAAATCTTTTAAAATCTACAAAATAGAAATCCATTCAAATCTTATGAAATCTATTAAATTCTATCAAATTTTACACAATCCATGAGAATTTATAAATATTAAGAAATCTATTAAATTTTGAAATGGGGACACCCGCGTTAGATTTTATGTTTTTTTTTTAGAAAGATTTTCAATAAATCATTTTTCATAGTTTAAACATCATAAAAAAAAAATTGTATTTGTTCTTTGGATCGTAATTTATCTGAAAAACTTTCTATCTTTTTGGATAAATGAGCTGTAATTTTATCCCTCTTTTATCTGTTGATAATCCAATAAACTCTATATCTTATTTTTCTATTATAGATTTTTTTTTAAATAGTACAATTCATTCTCTTTTTACATTCTCTAATAAATTGGACTAAATGAGTTTTATGTTCTTCTTTACTATTGGAACATATTAATATATCATCTATATAAACAATTAGAAATTTATTAAACTTTTTAAATATATTATCCATTTTTTTTGATATATTTGTGGTGCATTTTTTAAACTAAATGGCATAACGAACCATTCATATTTTCCTTGAGGTGTGCTAAATGTAGTATATTGTATGCTATCTTCTTCCATTTTTATTTGCCAAAATCCTGATTTACAATTAAATTTAGAATAATATTGTTTTCCTCTTACAAGATTTATTAACACTTCTTTATTTGGTAGAAAGTAACCATCAAATTTAGTATATTTGTTTAATTCTTTATAATTTATGACCTTCCTAACTTTTCCTCTAACTTGTTCAGAATGTTTCATAACTATAAAGGCTGGACTACTATGAGGTCCATTACTAGGTCTAATAAGTTTTTGTTCTAACAATTCTTTTATCTGATTTTTAAATTCTTGTATATTTTTTATAGTATACATCATTGGTCTTACTCTTATTATAACATTTTTAGTTAATTCTATTTTGACTTTTGGGTGATGTGGTTTCCAAAATAATAATGGATTTTCTCCATAAAGCTTTTCTAGTTGTTCCATAATTTTTTTTATATTCATTTCTATTCTTATTTTTAGAACCTTTTTATATAATATTTTTTTTTTATTTCATTATATATAATTGGTTTTTTCTTCCATTTATCACCACGCTAGGCTAGCTGAACTCTATTAGATTTAAATTCTCTAGAAATTTTTGTTATAACTCACTCACTCATAGTCAAAGTCAAGAAAATTATTTAGTCAAAGTCCAAAATTCAATTGGTCAAAGTCAATATTTAATAGGGATTTAAATGAAATAAATTATTTATTGGGGTTTAATTTAGTATGAAAAATAGTTAAAGGTTAAATGGATAAAACTTAATTTTAGGAATCTACTTATATATTATTGGAAGTAAAGGACTAGATGTTATATT